AAAAAAAAGAAGCTAACCCCATGAAAAGTAGATAAATGCAAAAAAAAAAAAAAAGGAAACGGAGAGCACTAAGGAGTACAGGATGCTCTGTGGTCCTTCTGTCCTCCTGCGTTCTCTTCCTTTACCACAGAGAGGTTGAGGGGGCTGGTTGTCATGACAGCTGTTGTCATGGTAGTGGGACTAGTTAATAAACAAGACCTAGCCACGTCCATCCATCCAGAGCGGCGACGCTGCCGTGGAAACCGTTGACAGGATGCAGCAAAGATATGAAAGTCTTTCCCTTTTTCTTGTCTACACTAAGGAAATTGAACAACCTCAAGGTTATGAAATCTTCACACATCAGTGGTGGTTTCAACATGAGGTGTCAATAAAAAAGCTTGGGTAAAGCTCATCTGCTGTTGGGAAAATGTAGCTAAAATGAAAAGGATTATCATACTCACCTTTTACCAGATCAATGCCTTTCAGTCTTCAGGGATGAACCAAGCTGGGTGAGAATATGCAATGATCGATTAATGAGGCAAGTTGATCAGACTGAGGTCAAACTTGAGGCATGGTGGTTATAATAAATGCCAAACATAATAGATAATGGTCCTTATCTTTTGACTAAAACACAATTTTGAAAGAAAGCGCATCAAAACCAGTATACCTACCCCTGCTTGACTGACTGAACCCCACAACTTCTTCCTGAAGCAGATGTGACTGAAGCAGGGATCTGGTCATTTGGGCCCACTGTCCAAGGTAATCAGTGATTATTGGCCCTTGCATGCTGGAGCAGAGACATCTAAAACATGCAGGACATTAGTTCCTGAGGACGAGGATGGACGAGGCCGTCATCTAAGCCGTTCTCTTAGCCTTGGACATTTTCAGTTCATTTATTCTTCCTTTAAACCATGAAGACACCTACAAACTTCTTTTTTCCCTAAATGCATCCATCACTTTAACCCAGCAAGTGTTTAATTTAAAGCCTAAGTGAGGGGCCGTTAACTTCAGTAATAGGTAACTAATGAACCTTCTAGAGACTATTTGTCATGTGTTAATGTCTGCACTTGTATGGGACTCAAAGGCAGAATTGACTTTTAGACAAAATGTCTTGAAACTTGTCATACTTGAAGACCTAGAAGTCCTAACCTATAGTGTTTTCTTTCTGGTCAGTTGAGCACATCCTGGAACAAAGGCTTCTGCAGTTCTTGAGTGGATCTTTCTGGCAGCATTTTCTTGCACAAATCAAACACTATGAGTTCCAACGAATTACGGTCATTGATAAATACGGAAATGTAAATCTTTGCTAGATGGTCATCCTTAAACCCCATTGTTCATTTAAATTGAGGGGGAGGTCTTCTAGTGTTTAAAAGGAGGGACTGAAGATTTAGTGCATGCTACTGGTTCTTAAAAACTAGACAGGTATTTTGTTATATATAAATTGTTATGATACAGTACTGGTTTCTGTGGAATTACATTTTAAAGAATTGGCTTAAATTGCATAGAATAGTGTTAAAGGTATAGTGGAGGATGTT